TCCGTCTTGATTCTTCTCACAATTTTTGCATCATCAGCAAACATTGAGAGGAACGAGTCTATACCCTCCGGAAGATCGTTTACATATATTAGAAACAGGATGGGTCCAAGTACTGAGCCCTGTGGGACTTCGCTGGTGACATCTCGCCACTCTGATGTCTCCCCTCTCACCGTTACTCGCTGTTTCCTGTTGCTTAAGTACTTCCTTATCCACTGGAGCACCTTACCTTTTACTCCTGCCTTATGCTCCAACTTTTTTAACAGTCCTTTATGGGGTACTGTGTCAAAGGCTTTTTGGCAGTCTAGGAAAATGCAGTCGGCTCACCCTTCTCTTTCCTCCCTAATTTTTGTTGCCTGGTCATAGAATTCTATTAAACCTGTGAAGCACGATTTACCATCCCTGAACCCATTTTGGTGATGTGTTACAAAGTTATTTCCCTCCAGATGTTCTACGAGCCTTTTCCTCACGATCTTCTCCATCACCTTGCATGGTATACAAGTTAGGGAAACTGGCTTGTAGTTCAGTGCCTCTTGTCTGTCACTCTTCTTGTATATTGGGACTACGTTAGCAGTCTTCCAACTTTCTGGTAAGTCTCCTGTTTCCAGTGACCTGTTATACACCATAGAGAGTGGCACACCTAGTGCTTCTGCACATTCCTTTAGTATCCATGGTGAGATTCTGTCAGGCCCAACAGCCTTTGTCACATCCAGCTCCAGCAGACACCTTTTGACCTCATCACTGGTGAGGTCAAATTCCTCAAAGGTTGCTTGGTTTGCCTCCTCCTCATTAAGTGCAGGGGCTTCTTGTTCTATTGTGAAGACCTCCTGGAATCTCTTGTCAAGTTCATAAACACACCTCCTTGTCATTCTCTGTGTATCTGTTCTCCCCTTTTCTCAGTTTCATCACTGGTTCCTTCACTGCTGTTTTCCTCCTGATGTGGCTGTGGAGCAGCTTTGGTTGGGTCTTGGCTTTACTCGCTATGTCATTTTCAAACTCTCTCTGCTTCCCTTCTCACTCTGAGGTACTCATTTCTGGCCCTCTGGTATCTCTTCCTGCTCTCCAGTGCTCTGTTTTTTCTGTAGTTTCTCCACGTTCTTTTACTCACTTGCTTCGCTACCTTTCATTCCTGGTTGAACCATGGGTTTTTCTGTTTTTCGTTTTTCTCCTTTTGGACGGGGATCAACCTGTCTGCAGCTTCCTGGCACTTCTGGGTGACAAAATCTATCATGTCTTGCACATTCTTGTCTCTAAGTTCTGTTTCCCATGATATTCCCTTGAGGAAGTTCCTCATCTCGTCATATTTTCCTCTTCGGTAATTTAGTCTTTTTCCCTCCGATCCCATCCTTGGATAGGTTATCCCTACCTCCACCAAGTACTCAAAAGTCAGTACACTGTGGTCACTCGTTCCTATGGGGGCTTCAACTTTGACTTCCCTTATTTCTGATTCATTCAGGGTGAAGGTCAAGTCGAGTCTAGCTGGTTCATCATTGCCTCTCACTCTTGTGGGTTCCCTGACATGCTGGGTCAGAAAGTTCCTTGTTGCCACTTCCAAGAGTTTAGCTCTCCATGTATCTGCACCACCATGTGGGTCCCCATTCTCCCAGTCTATCTTTCCCAGTCTATATGGTTGAAATCGCCCATGATTAAGAGTCTTGAGCCATTCCTGCAGGCAACTGAAGCTGCTCTCTTCTCTGCGGAAGCTGTGTGTGTGTGTGTGTGTGTGTGTGTGTGTGTGTGTGTGTGTGTGTGTGTGTGTGTGTGTGTGTGTGTGTGTGTGTATGTGTGTGTACTCACCTATATGTACTCACCTATATGTGCTTGCGGGGGATGAGCTCTGGCTCTTTGGTCCCGCCTCTCAACTGTCAATCAACTGGTGTACACGTTCCTGAGCCTACTGGGCTCTATCATATCTACACTTGAAACTGTGTATGGAGTCAGCTTCCACCACATCACTTCCTAATGCATTCCATTTGTCAACCACTCTGACACTAAAAAAGTTCTTTCTAATATCTCTGTGGCTCATTTGGGCACTCAGTTTCCACCTGTGTCCCCTGGTGCATGTGCCCTTTGTGTTTAATAGCCTGCCTTTATCTACCCAATCAATTCCTTCGAAAATCTTGCATGTGGTGATCATGTCCCCTCTATCTCTTCTGTCTTGCAACGACTTGAGGTTTAATTCATGTAGTCTCTCCTCGTAGCTTATACCTCTCAGCTCGGGTACTAGTCTGGTGGCAAACCTTTGAACCTTTTCCAGTTTAGTCTTATGCTTGACTAGATATGGACTCCATGCTAGGGGCTGCATACTCCAGGATTGGCCTGACATATGTGGTATACAAAGTTCTGAATGATTCCTTACACACGTTTGTAAAGGCCGTTCTTATGTTAGCCAACCTGGTATATGCCGCTGATGTTATCCTCTGAAATGAGCTTCAGGGAACAGGTCTGACGTGATATCTACCAAAAGGTCTTTCTCTCTCTCTTACTCTTGAAGTATTTCATCTCTCAAATGATACCTTGTATCTGGTCTCCTACTCCCTACACCTATCTTCATTACATTGCATTTGCTTGGGTTAAACTTTAACAACCATTTGTTCGACCATTCCTGCAGCTTGTCCAGGTCTTCTTGAAGCCTCAAACTGTCCTCATCTGTCTTAATTCTTCTCATAATTTTACCGTCGTCAGCAAACATTGAGGGGAATGAGTCTATACCCTCTGGGAGATCATTTACGTATATCAGAAACAGGATAGGTCCGACTACAGAGCCCTGTGGGACTCTACTGGTGACTTCACGCTAATATGAGGTCTCACCCCTCACTGCAACTCTCTCCTTCCTATTACTTAGGTACTCCCTTATCCAATGGAGCTCCCTATCAGTTACTCCTGCCTGTTTCTCCAGCGTATGCATCAGCCTTTTATGGGGTACTGTGTCAAAGGCTTTCCGACAGTCCAAAAAAATGCAGTCTGCCCAGCCTTTTCTATCTTGCTTAATCTTTGTCACCTGATCGTAGAATTCTATTAAGCCTGTAAGGCAAGATTTTCCCTCCCTGAACCCATGTTGATGGGTTGTTACGAAGTCCCTTCTCTCCAGATGTGTTACTAGGTTTTTCTCACGATCTTTTCAATCACCTTGCATGGTATACAAGTTAAGGACACTGGCCTGTAGTTCAGTGCCTCTTGTCTGTCACCCTTTTTAAATATTGGTACTACATTAGCCATCTTCCATATTTCTGGTAGGTCTCCCGTTTCCAGTGACCTATTATACACTATGGAGAGTGGCAAGCAAAGTGCCTCTGCACACTCTTTCAATACCCATGGTGAGATCCTGTCTGGACCAACAGTCTTTCTCACGTCCAGATGCAACAGGTGCCTCTTGACCTCATCTCTTGTAATTTCGAACCCTTCCAAGGCCTCCTGGTTTACTGCCACCTCTCCTAGCACAGTGACCTCTCCTTGTTCTATTGTGAAGACCTCCTGGAACCTCTTGTCGAGTTCCTCACACACCTCTGTCATTCTCTATGTACCTAACCTCACCCATTCTAAGTTTCATCACCTGTTCCTTCACTGTTGTTTTCCTCCTGATGTGACTGTGTAGTAGCTTTGGTTCGGTCTTAGCTTTATTAGCTATATCATTTTCATATGTTTTTGCGAGTGCTATTATGTCTGGGTTTTCTTTTAGTGCCCATTCTCCAAGTTCACTTGTTTTATTCGTAATTCCATCTATGTTAGTGTACATTGCCTTGAAGCTCACTCACTTCTGTTCATTCTCTTGTCCTCTTCTTGGTGGGCGTTCTGCAGATGGAGGAAGCTGTTCAATAGGTGTGAAGATTTGTGAGGTGGTTAATAGGGTCTCAGTGGATTCTGGGGTGTGAGAGGGGTTCAAGGGAAGGGGGTACAGGTTGGGTATGGGGTAAGGAGTCAGGGGGGACATGGAGGACACGGGGTGAGGGGGGAGGAGGGATAGGAAGGGTATGGGGTGAAGGGTGACAGGAATGATGGGAATGGCACAGGGGTGACAGGGTTGGAATGGGGTGGGGAGGGTTGAGTGAGCATTTGAGTGGGGGCAGGTAGGGTGAGGGGTAGGGAGGATTTCTATGTAGAAGAGGGTGGCGGTGTTGCCCTCCCTTCTGGTGTTGCTGGGATTCTGGTTGTGGGTTCCCCTCTTGTTTCTGGGACTGTTGTGTTGGGGCTGCGATTTCCTGGTTTACTCCTCTCTCCCTGTGCTTCCTCCTTCCCTCTGTCACCCTGGCTTTCTCCTCCTTCGTCCTATCCCTCTGAAGGAATACTTTTTTGTATTCCTCCAAATACTGCAGATGGCTTTCTTTCTAGAATAACCTCCTTTGTGGCCTCGTTTGCAAACACTATCTTCACCAGACGGTCTCTGTCCTTGTTGTACCAGCCCAACCTGAAAACCTTCTCAATGTTTTGTTCAGCCCATTCCATCTTTAACCCCTTTAGTATTCCATTTACTGTCTCTCTGTCCTTGCTATTCCATTCTTGCCTATTGGATTCTTCCTGTTCTTTGATGCCCACAGCTATCACTGATCTTTTTCTTTCCGGCAGCTGACTGATGCACTTTGCTGCTTCCTGTGAGGTAGCTGCTTGCATGGCTACCTCCCTCAATGTGGCCATTGCTTCTGTGCTCTTTCTCAGTATTTCTGCCAATGTTTCAGGTACAGAGGCATTTCCTTCCAATGCGCCAATTCCATCTTCCCTTTGGAAGATCATCTGATGCTTAGTCTTCTTATTTTTCTCTGTGAGGGATTTGATCTCCTTCTTTGCTGCTGTCAGCTCACTTTGCAGGTTGCTAATTGTGTTCTTCATTTCATGCAACTCCTTCCTGAATTCCTTCCAAACTTGGGCTAACATTTCTTTCATTTGGTCACTGACTCTGGTGCGTCCTCCTGCCATCTTAGTACCTTTTCCTGATATGTTTCATTATGGTTAGCCAGGGGGGGGGGGCAGAGAGGGAGGGCGAGAGAGAGAGAGGGAGGGACGGAGGGATGGAGGGCGAGAAGAAACAAGTGAGGGGAACCAAGTGAGGGGAACCAAGTGAGGGGAACCAAGTGAGGGGAACCAAGTGAGGGAAACCAAGTGAGGGAAACCAAGTGAGGGAAAACTAGTGAGGGGAAACTAGTGAGGGGAAACTAGTGAGGGAAACTAGTGAGGGAAACTAGTGAGGGAAACTAGTGAGGGGAAACAAGTGAGGGGAACAAGTGAAGGAAGTAGATGATAGCCTCCTGGTTTACCGCAGATGGTCCACACCGGTGACGCAGATGGTCCACACCAGTGACGCAGATGGTCCACACCAGTGACGCAGATGGTCCACACCAGTGACGCAGATGGTCCACACCAGTGACGCAGATGGTCCACACCAGTGACGCAGATGGTCCACACCAGTGACGCAGATGGTCCACACCAGTGACGCAGATGGTTTACACCAGTGACGCAGATGGTCCACACCAGTGACGCAGATGGTCCACACCAGTGACGCAGATGGTCCACACCAGTGACGCAGATGGTCCACACCAGTGACGCAGATGGTCCACACCAGTGACGCAGATGGTCCACACCAGTGACGCAGATGGTCCACACCAGTGACGCAGATGGTCCACACCAGTGACGCAGATGGTCCACACCAGTGACGCAGATGGTCCACACCAGTGACGCAGATGGTCCACACCAGTGACGCAGATGGTCCACACCAGTGACGCAGATGGTCCACACCAGTGACGCAGATGGTCCACACCAGTGACGCAGATGGTCCACACCAGTGACGCAGATGGTCCACACCAGTGACGCAGATGGTCCACACCAGTGACGCAGATGGTCCACACAGGTGGAACAGATGGTCCACACACTGTGCAGCTGCTAAGTGCCGACATTAAAAATGGATAACGACCCAAGCCTGACAACCCTGCAAACAAATTGCCTGAAATACGCAGCGAAATGTGAGTTCAAATATTCTCGATTTGACTGGTAACTGCACTGAGCCTGTGAGCTTCAGCTCATCTGGTGACAGTAACGACGGGGGACCGGGACCTGTCTATAGCGCCCTGCTGCAGGCTTCCTGTCCCATGTCCCGGCCCCCCCGTCACCGTGTTCCGCTCTCCTGTCACAATTTCCCGTATTGACAGACAAGCGCCCACTCTGGGTGGAGATATACGAGTCCTTTGCTAGGGACCAGCCACGTCCACCTCGTAAGTGTTGCTGTTACACCTCGTAAGTGTTGCTGTAACACCTCGTAAGTGTTGCTGTAACACCTCGTAAGTGTTGCTGTAACACCTCGTAAGTGTTGCTGTAACACCTCGTAAGTTTTGCTGTAGCTCCTCGTAAGTGTTGCTGTAACACCTCGTAAGTGTTGCTGTAACACCTCGTAAGTGTTGCTGTAACACCTCGTAAGTGTTGCTGTAACACCTCGTAAGTGTTGCTGTAACACCTCGTAAGTGTTGCTGTAACACCTCGTAAGTGTTGCTGTAACACCTCGTAAGTGTTGCTGTAACACCTCGTAAGTGTTGCTGTAACACCTCGTAAGTGTTGCTGTAACACCTCGTAAGTGTTGCTGTTACACCTCGTAAGTGTTGCTGTAACACCTCGTAAGTTTTGCTGTAGCTCCTCGTAAGTGTTGCTGTAACACCTCGTAAGTGTTGCTGTAACACCTAGTAAGTGTTGCTGTTACACCTCGTAAGTTTTGCTGTAACACCTCGTAAGTGTTGCTGTTACACCTCGTAAGTTTTGCTGTAACACCTCGTAAGTGTTGCTGTAACACCTCGTAAGTGTTGCTGTAACACCTCATTAGGGTGCCACAGGTGGTGCCACAGGTGAAGGTGCCACAGGTGGAGGTGCCACAGGTGAAGGTGCCACAGGTGAGGGTGCCACAGGTGAGGGTGCCACAGGTGAAGGTGCCACAGGTGAAGGTGCCACAGTTGAAGGTGCCACAGTTGAAGGTGCCACAGGTGAAGGTGCCACAGGTGGAGGTGCCACAGGTGGAGGTGTCACAGGTGAAGGTGCCACAGGTGAGGGTGCCACAGGTGAGGGTGCCACAGGTGGAGGTACCACAGGTGAAGGTGCCACAGGTGAAGGTGCCACAGGTGAAGGTAACACATGTGAAGGTAACACATGTGAAGGTGCCACAGGTGAGGGTGCCACAGGTGAGGGTGCCACAGGTGAAGGTGCCACAGGTGAAGGTGCCACAGGTGAAGGTGCCACAGGTGAAGGTGCCACAGGTGGAGGTACCACAGGTGAAGGTGCCACAGGTGGAGGTACCACAGATGAAGGTGCCACAGGTGAGGGTGCCATAGGTGGAGGTACCACAGGTGAAGGTAACACATGTGAAGGTGCCACAGGTGAAGGTGCCACAGGTGAAGGTGCCACAGGTGAAGGTGCCACAGGTGAGGGTGCCACAGGTGAAGGTGCCACAGGTGAGGGTGCCACAGGTGAAGGTGCCACAGGTGAAGGTGCCACAGGTGAAGGTGCCACAGGTGAAGGTGCCACAGGTGAAGGTACCACAGGTAAGGGTGCCACAGGTGAAGGTAACACATGTGAAGGTGCCACAGGTGGAGGTAACACATGTGAAGGTGCCACAGGTGAAGGTGCCACAGGTGGAGGTGCCACAGGTGGAGGTGCCACAGGTGGAGGTGCCACAGGTGAGGGTGCCACAGGTGAGGGTGCCACAGGTGAGGGTGCCATAGGTGAAACACAGACAAATAGGGTGAAGGAAAACCTAACCCTTCCTTTCCTTGTGGAACACCACCAGTAATTGTTCCAGGATGGAACCTTGTGGAACACCGCCAGTAATTGTCCCACGACGGAACCTTGTGGAACACCACCAGTAATTGTTCCACGATGGAACCTTGTGGAACACCACTAGGTGTTCAGGGACCGTTCAGGGACCAGCCATTGTATATCCTTCACGCTAGACCAAGTATATACAGTATACCGTTCAGGGAGCAGGTCCTATATATACCGTTGTCAACACCGATCACAACCGATACAAGAGCTCCACCGGGAGCCAAGAACGCCAGGACCCGGAACACTAGCTCCACAGTGCCACCACAGTGCCACCACAGTGCCACCGTCTCCGGCACTACCCATAACCCGCTGCCATTGGCTCTAATGATAACCGGCACCGTCTCGGCTTTTAATTAGGGCGAAACATTGGCCCTAGTTAAAATGCTAATTTAATTCATCGGCTCCACGCAGTGGTGACGACTTTTATGGCCACCACTAAAACCTTTACTGCCGGCTGGTAAAGGTTGTGGGTGGTGGGGGGCGGTGTGGGGGGCGGTGTAGGGGGCGGTGTAGGGTAGTGTGGGGGGGCGGTGTGGGGTAGTGTGGGGAGCGGTGGGAGAGTTTACATCGACAAATATCAGGGCCATCAGGGGCTGGAATCGACATCCAGGTATTGGAAACGTGCTGGCGTCGACCTCCCGACATGGGATACGTGCCTAGTGAGGATCCTGTGACCTATAGTGAGGATCCTATCACATAGTGGGAGATCCTATGACATACAGGAGGGATCCTCTGATGAACGGGTGACCCCACAAAAATGAGAAAATGAATCACACAGAAATATGACGCTAAAGAGACGATAAGATGAAGGAAGGGAGCGCACTGTTGCTCAGTGAAGTGATGCTGCGAGAACAGACGAATGTGGAAATAGATTCTATGATGCTCATTGGTAGCGGGAGATGAAGAGATGAACCGCTGAGGATGATGCTTTAAAGATCCATGGGTGTACAAAAGAAAAAAAAAGTAGCATTGACAATATAGACAATAGAAAGAGAAACATAGAAACAAACACAGGACGTGGAGTGGTCTGACGCCTGTCTGTGACTGTCTGTCTCTGTCTCCACCAATTAAGAAGACAGGTTGCAGGTAATCAATTAAGAGCCAAGTCGTGTCAATCACTCTGAGATTCCTATAATTAATTATTGAGTACGAGAGAGAGACTCAGCCTGGAGGAGCTCCATACACGCGGTGTCACTTTCACTCTCACACCTTCACTAGCACACCTTCACTAGCACACCTTCACTAGCACACCTTCACTAGCACACCTTCACTAGCACACCTTCACTAGCACACCTTCACTAGCACACCTTCACTCCCACACCTTCACTCCCACACCTTCACTCCCACACCTTCACTCCCACACCTTCACTCCCACACCTTCACTCCCACACCTTCACTCCCACACCTTCACTCCCACACCTTCACTCCCACACCTTCACTCCCACACCTTCACTCCCACACCTTCACTCCCACACCTTCACTCCCACACCTTCACTCCCACACCTTCACTCCCACACCTTCACTCCCACACCTTCACTCCCACACCTTCACTCCCACACCTTCACTCCCACACCTTCACTCCCACACCTTCACTCCCACACCTTCACTCCCACACCTTCACTCCCACACCTTCACTCCCACACCTTCACTCCCACACCTTCACTCCCACACCTTCACTCCCACACCTTCACTCCCACACCTTCACTCCCACACCTTCACTCCCACACTGGTGATTATCATCATCAACATTACAACTGTACATTGCACACTGCCAGATAGACATCTATCATAAGAAGAATAGATCGATAGATATAGTCGTACAGACAGCTCCGTATATGGCGTCAGACAGACATAGGAAGGCACATGGACAAATATATAATCATTAATAATATAACTCATTGTGTCGGGGACAGGAAGCCAGAGTGTATTCATAAACGTTAGGCTTATATCGAGGCGCCCCCCCCCCCCAATTTCGAATTACTGGCCTCACCCAGGATGCAACCACTCAACAAGCTGACTAACTTCTGAATACATACTTCCTGCTAGGTGAAGAGGTGCATTAGGTGGAAAAAAATGAGCACCAACCATTCCTGTCTCGCCCGGGATTCGAAGCCGGAATTCTCGACTATTTGTCGAGAACGTCGCACATCCAGACGCATAAATACACATACATAAACAAAAACACACATACATACACATACATAAACATAATTACACATACATAAACATAATTACACATACATAAACATAATTACACATACATAAACATAATTACACATACATAAACATAATTACACATACATAAACATAAACACTCTGTAACATAAATACGCTCGTCAAAGTTGGCAGCGTGCATATTTTTAAGGTGACAGAGGATGTTGGAGGTGTGGGAAAGACCCGTCTCAGGTCGCAGGAGCAGACAGGAGAGACAGGAAGGTGCTCTAGGGGATAAGGGAGTACCTAAGCAAGTGAAGACAGCGAGACAGAGTGAGAGGAACGAGTCCTTCTCTGAAATCATTACAAATAAAATCAATACTAAGACCTATTTTGTTCCTGACACTTGAAAATGAATCTTCTTTCCTCAAAATATTTCGTCATAAAAATTACGAGTTATAAAAGTCATAAGAAGATGACCTGGCCGAACGAAAAGAATGGTCTAACAAATGGCTACTAGAGTTTAACACTAGCAAGTGCAATGCAATTGGTTGCTGTGAACAACAGGGCAAACCCAAACTACCAAATGGGAGAGAATTTCCTCCAAGAAACCCATATGAAATAAATACCATAAACAGCGTATTCTAAGATTAGCTCACACAATAATTGCCTTCAGAGATCTGAAGAAAGACTCATATAAGCCCATGTATACGACACATGTCAGACCAGTTCTAGAATATGCAGCGCCAGCTTCGAGTCCTCATCTCCTCGTCGCAAGACGGGTACCATAGTTATGTGTTATGATGAAAGACTAAGGGAACGAAACCCTTATATCACTGGCAGACAGACGCGCCAGGGAAGACATGATCACGATATATACAATTCCAAGGGAAACAAATAGACTAGACATTGAGTCATTGTTTAGGAAGGTGAGTACAAGAATATTGAGACCACATGATGGTGGTGGTGGTGGTGGTGGTGATGGTGGTGATGGTGGTGGTGATGGTGGTGATGGTGGTGTTGGTGGTGATGGTGGTGTTGGTGGTGATGGTGGTGATGGTGGTGGTGATGGTGGGTGGTGGTGATGGTGGTGGTGTTGGTGGTGATGGTGGTGGTGTTGGTGGTGTTGGTGGTGGTGGTGGTGGTGGTGGTGATGGTGGTGGTGATGGTGGTGGTGGTGTTGGTGATGGTGATGGTGGTGTTGGTGGTGGTGGTGATGGTGTTGGTGGTGGTTGTGATGGTGGTGTTGGTGGTGGTGGTGGTGGTGATGGTGGTGTTGGTGGTGGTGGTGATGGTGGTGTTGGTGGTGGTGGTGATGGTGGTGTTGGTGGTGGTGGTGGTGATGATGATGGTGGTGGTGATGATGATGGTGGTGGTGATGATGATGGTGGTGATGATGGTAATGATGATGGTGGTGATGGTGGTAATGATGATGGTGGTGATGGTGGTAATGATGATGGTGGTGGTGATGGTAATGATGATGGTGGTGGTGATGGTAATGATGATGGTGGTGGTGATGGTAATGATGATGGTGGTGGTGGTGGTGATTGTAGTAATGATGATGATGATGGTAGTAATGATGATGATGGTGGTGATGGTGGTGATGATGATGATGGTGGTGATGGTGGTGATGGTGGTAATGATGGTAATGATGATGGTGGTGATGATGATGATGGTAGTAATGATGATGATGGTGGTAATGATGATGATGGTGGTGATGGTGGTGATGATGATGGTGGTGATGATGACGGTGGTGATGGTGGTAATGATGATAGTGGTGATGATGATGGTGGTAATGATGATGGTGATGATGGTGGTGATGGTGGTAATGATGGTAATGATGATGGTGGTGATGATGGTGGTGATGGTGGTAATGATGATGGTGGTGGTGATGGTGGTAATGATGATGATGGTGGTAATGATGATGATGGTGGTAATGATGATGGTGGTGGTAATGATGATGATGGTGGTAATGATGATGGTGGTGATGATGATGGTAGTGATGGTGGTGGTGATGATGATGATGGTGGTGATGGTGGTAATGATGATGATGGTGGTGATGGTGGTAATGATGATGGTGGTGGTGATGATGATGGTGGTGATGGTGGTGGTGATGATGGTAGTGATGGTGGTGATGATGATGATGGTGGTGATGATGATGGTGGTGATGGTGGTAATGATGATGATGATGGTGGTGGTGATGGTAGTGATGGTGGTGGTGATGGTAGTGATGATAGTGGTGGTGGTGGTGGTGATGGTGGTGGTGATGGTGGTGGTGGTGATGATGATGATGATGATGATGGTGGTGGTGATGGTGGTGATGGTGGTAATGATGGTGGTGATGGTGGTAATGATGGTGGTAATGATGGTGGTGATGGTGGTGATGGTGGTGGTGATGGTAGTGATGGTGGTGATGGTGGTGGTGATGGTAGTGATGGTGGTGATGGTGGTGGTGATGGTGGTGATGGTGGTGATGGTGGTGATGGGTGATGATGGTGGTGATGGTGGTGATGGGTGATGATGGTGGTGATGGTGGTGATGGTGGTGATGGTGGTAATGATGGTGGTGATGATGGTAATGATGGTGATGATGGTAATGATGGTGGTGATGATGGTAATGATGGTGGTGATGATGATGATGATAGTGGTGATGGTGGTGGTGATGGTGGTGATGGTGATGATGATGGTGGTGATGATGATGGTGGTGGTGATGGTGGTGATGGTGGTGATGGTGGTAATGATGGTGGTGGTGGTGATGGTGATGGTAGTGATGGTCGTGATGATGATGATGGTGGTGATGGAAGTGTTGGTGGTGATGATGATGATGGTGGTGGTGATGGTATTGATGGTGGTGATGGTAGTGATGGTGATAATGATGATGGTGGTGGTGATGGTGATGATGATGATGGTCACAGTGATGGTGATAATAACAGTGGTGACGGTACTGATGACGATGGTCACAGTGATGGTGATGATTGTAACAGTGGTGACGGTACTGATGATGACGATGGTCACAGTGATGGTGATGCTAATAACAGTGGTGACGGTACTGATGATGACGATGGTCACAGTGATGGTGATGCTAATAACAGTGGTGACGGTACTGATGATGACGATGGTCACAGTGATGGTGATGATAATAACAGTGGTGACGGTACTGATGATGACGATGGTCACAGTGATGGTGATGATAATAACAGTGGTGACGGTACTGATGATGACGATGGAGGAACAGGCACGAGACGCAGGAGAGGAAGAGAGGAAGGAACACCAGACGATAAAGATAAAGATCCATAAAAAAAAAAAAATGAAGAGGAGCAAATCAAAAAAATTAAAAAAATCTTTTTAGTAGATTTCAACAGAAACAAAAAATCCCACAAAGGCCTCAAAGTCATTACTCACAAACAAGGCCTAAGGCAGTTCATATACAAAAAATTGGCTGCTCACTATAAAAAAACTGGACAAAATTAATATCATGCATAAAACGAAAACAATTTTTTTTCTTTTAATTATACACAAATCATATTTTTTTTATTTTATATTTTATATTTTGTTTTAGAAATATTAAATGTTTACCTAAAATAAACACCGTCCGCCATGTTTCTTTCAGAGCGACAGCTGCGGAAAAATGTTATATATCATTCAGTGAATTAATTACTTCAGAAACACATGACTCTATAAATATTTCCTCTGCATTACTTCCCCTTCATCATCCCCCCTCCCCCCGCTCTTCATAATCCCCCCCCCCACCCTCGTCCCCTTCTCCCCATCACCTCCACCACCCTCGTCCCCTCCCCCCTTCATCACCCCCACCACCCTCGTCCCCTCCCCCCTTCATCACCCCACCACCCTCGTCCCCTCCCCCCTTCATCACCCCACCACCCTCGTCCCCCTCCCCTTCCTTCCCCACTCATCCTGGTCCATCCGTATCCTCCTATCCTTCATCCACTTGATTTTTCCTCCTTTCCATTTGCTTACTATAACGACACCCCTATCTCACCCCTCACCCACTCGCTACTCTTCCCTTGCCCCTCCCTACTATTCCCTCACCCCTCCCTACTCTTCCCTCACCCCTCCCTACTCTTCCCTCACCCCTCCCTACTCTTCCCTCACCCCTCCCTACTCTTCCCTCACCCCTCCCTACTCTTCCCTCACCCCTCCCTACTCTTCCCTCACCCCTCCCTACTCTTCCCTCACCCCTCCCTACTCTTACCTCACCCCTCCCAACTCTTCCCTCACCCCTCCCTACTCTTCCCTCACCCCTCCCTACTCTTCCCTCACCCCTCCCTATTCTTCCCTCACCCCTCCCTACTCTTCCCTCACCCCTCCCTACTCTTCCCTCACCCCTCCCAACTCTTTCCTCACACACTCCCTACGTTTCCCTTACCCCCTCCCTACCCCATTCCCCTCGCTCTCCCCAATCCTCCAACAGCCCCATTACCACTTCACCACCTTCCAACCCCTCCCCCCCACTCCCCTTCCCTGCCAGCACCTCTCCCCCCCCCTCCCACCAGCTCACCTCTTCCCTAGTGCCCCCATTCCCCACCTGTGTCCCTCCTCCGACTCTCTCTCACCCCCCCCCTCTCCCTCACAGTCCTCTCCGTCAACAAGAAACAACTGAAACTCGCACGTGATCCTATTTGTACACGAATTGTGCCAAGGAAAACTATAATTTTCCAAGGAAAGCCAACCACGTCATCACGTCAGTGACGTGGTTGGCTCCTCCCGAGGCAGGATCAAACCCTTCCTCAATGACGTGGTTCAAACCCTACATTAGTGACACGGTTGGACCCAAACCTGATCTTCAAAGGGAGGAGAGGTAAATATGCATATTCTGAGGGCACAAGTTCCAAAGATCAAAGCAAGTAGAGCTCTCTAGCCTCTAAAAGGACAAATTTGCTTGCTACTTTCACATCAGAAAACGGGAACCACGGGAGTTGCCGGGATGTAAACAACTCGGCGAGAGTGGTGGCTGGTCTCCCCCGCGCACGAGGGCCTCGACCACTCTCGCCACCCCATGAAATCTTGATGGCGGGAGCCCGTAAGTGTTCGACAGACGTGCTCCTTCAAGCTCTCCATTATTTACCCCCCTTGATGTCCTACTAAGGACCGGAAAGGAAAACAGACTTGAATAATAGACGCCTCCGAGCCTGGGAGATCAGGCGCCTCAAGCTTCCCGTTTTCTTTGTCGTCTTTTTAAAATTAAAAACAATACAAACATTTCAAATACTTTGAAATATATTTTGAACAAATATGACAAACAAGCAGATTTGTTGAACATTTTTAGTTTGGTAGGAAAGACATATTAATATGAATCATTTAGAGACATGGCAGGTCTTAGGGAATTGAAATTGAAATTGAAATAAGTTTATTGAGGTAAAATACACACAAAGGGATGAGGTAGCTCAAGCTATTCTCACCCCGTTCAGTACAACGTGTTAATATATACATACACACATCACAAACAATAAACATATTACCAAACATTCTGAGAGGTAAAAATATACATTTCCTCCCTCACAAGGAGTATGGTATCAGACGTACACACAAATACTTTTATGACCTAGGTATACTGTATAGACAATTTGCAAGACACCTGCAGATAATTCAACAAAATATTACAATCTTGGTGCAAAATTCTTATATCTCTCAAGAATATCATCAACCTTTCCGTTGTGACACATCCAGGCTATTTGTTCAGGAACAGTCCTTATCTCAGTGTTTCTATATACACTAATCAACGGACAATCAAGAATATAATGGGCAAGGGTGTGAGACCTTAACATACCACATAGTTTACACTTCGTGTCATTACCATGAACATCTATCCCATATTCCCAGTAATATTTGTACCCAAGCCTGAGCCGCATGTACACAGAGTCACTCCAAGCATTTCTCCTTTTACCATAAGTGAAATGGGTGTTTTGACTCACATACATGTAGTGTTGCATGGTTTGACTACTCTCATACATTATCTCTCTCCTCTCCACTCCCGCCTGTGCCTGAATATTTCTGATTTTGCTTCTTATTTGTCTCATTGTGAATTCACATTCAATGTCAACTTGTGGTTTTGATGTGGCACGTTTGGCCAAGTCATCCGCCACCTCGTTGAGCACTATTCCAACATGAGATGGAATCCACATGAATTTCACACTATAACCTTTCAGCTGTATCTCAGTTATTCTTCTCTTACAGTCCTCCACTATAGACATGAAGACTGGGTTTCTACTGTTTAAGGACTCCAGTGCTCCTCGGCTATCGACAAATACAAAAACATTTTTGTCGTCATGACGTACTTCCTCCAAACACGCCAGAATGGCCTGCAGTTCAGCTTGTGTGGATGATATATAATTACTAAGCCGGAGTTCAATTATCCTGTCCACAGTCCCAAACTCCGTATAATCCCTTATTAGGACACCACACCCTGCCCTGCCATCCTCCGCCACCGACCCGTCGCAATATACATGTAAACTGTTGCCTCTTGGTAACCGAGATATCATGCTTCCATACAAACACCGTAATTGTCCCGGTTCATGATGAATCTTTTTCACCTTGAGGGGTACAATTTCGACGTCTATTTTCTGTACTTTCCAGGGAGCAGACATATTACACTTTCGAGAGGGTTTACAGCAGTCAAGTACGTCGTATTCCCTGAGGTCATGAGCTAATCCTCTCGTATAGCGAGTCTCCCTCAGTTTCCTGGAAGTGTGTACGTCACTCAAGCAGGTCTGAACGCTCTCAAACAGCTTATCCCCTCCTTTTCTCCGCATGAAACGAATAGATACTCTAGTGTTAATGTCACGGACTCTATCACACACACTCTGTAAATTTAATTCCATTCTCATTATTTCAATCATTGCATTTCTTTGACATCCAAGAATAATCCTCATAGCCTCGTTCTGTATCAGCTCTATTTTTTGAATTCTGCCTTGGCCTGTGTAAGACAATACGGGTGCTGCGTAGTCTATCAGGGATCGAACAGTGCTTATGTATAACATCCGCAAGATAGGTACCCCAACACCTTTACCAGAAAAAGCCAGTGCTTTTAGAGGATGCAGACGGGCTTTACATAAGGTGCTGATATGATTTATTTCAGCATTTTTACTCTCACATGTGTATCCAACATACATGCCCAGATACTTGTACTTCTGTACACGGCTCAGTTCCACACCATTTAGAGTAAGTGTTATATTTCTTCGTTTCCTATACTCGTATTTGGTTTTATCTGCATTTATAACTAAGCCTAACTTGTGACAGGTTGTACCAAGTATGTTAAGAGCATCTTGAATTTTGTTCCCAGAAGTGCCTTGTATAAGAATGTCATCAGCATATATGATCGTCGTGACCCCTGGAGGATACATCTCTGATGCTAATCTGTTCATTAATACATTGAATAAGGTGGGACTTAATACTCCCCCTTGTGGGGTACCTAACTGAAACCTCCGTTCCTCAGACATGTATCCCTGGTAATACACCTGACCTTTTCTGCCTTGCAGGTAATCCCTTATCCAGTGTAGCAATCTCCCTGTTATTCCCAGATTGGCTAATTCGTATAAGATTACTTCCCCATTGGCTTTATCAAACGCTCCTTGTAGATCAACAAAAACTCTACAATTGTCATCCACATTAGACAAACACTTTAAGAGACAATCCGAAGTACTTTTGCCTTTGATAAAACCAAAGAGATTATTGGACATGTTATCACCTACAAGGTAGAGTAGCCTATTTAACAAAATCCTTTCCATCATTTTACAAAAGCAGGATATTAAGGAGACAGGTCTGTAGCCTCCGTTTGACTTAGGGATAGGAATGATGACAGCCTCTTTCCATTTTCTTGGTAACTTTCCCTCTCTATAACTCATATTAAACAAATCAAGTAAGGGATTAGGTTTCATACCGGCTAAATAATTAAGTATGTCATACGTTACTCCATCTTTTCCCGGAGCAGTGGAGCTGCCACTTTTTATAGCATCCAGTAGCTCATCGTGGGTTATCTCAGTGCATGCTATAGATCTTGTATTTAAGGCACATAAAGTTACTCCATTTCTAATATTTTCCCATGACTCAATGGTGACTCTCGTGTCTGCAGGTAAGGACTCCATACCAGCAGCACTTGCCCATTTATCTACTAACTCATTAGCAACTTTCCCTGGATCTGAGTGAGCAATGAATTTAGTCTTACAACCCCTGACTTTATTTACTGCTCTCCATATGTCTTTAAGGTTCTTAGTATTACCAATGGCCTGAGCAAAGTCTTGCCAGTATCTGTCCCGCGCCTCCTTCCTCACCTGACTGCA